CCAGAGTCTAGAAGTGATGCTCGTGGACGGGCTATTTGTCTAACCTGATACAAGTGATAAGCTTCGGACAGCAACACAGAAGAAGCACTGAGTCCCTCTGAGGCAGTGGCTCATCGGGGAGGCTTGTTAAAGCAGATGAGCAGGCCTCACCCCCGTGGTGATGCGGCAGGGCTGGGGTGGGGACAGACCACTGGTATCGCTCACCGTTCCCAGCCTTCCGTGCACGGGGGCACGGGGAAGAGCTGTCGGGGAGGGGTCCCCCAGAGGGCAGCTGAGCTGCAGCGCCTACCAGCACAGCCTCGGGCTGGGCGAGCGTGGCACCTTCACTGGCACTTGGATCTCTTTGGGGAAACATGGGTGAGGCTGAGTTCTTCAGAAGTTTGGTTCTCGAGTGTGGTTGGCAGTGAGCTTCCCGGGTAAGTTGTGAGGGATGCTATCACGTGGAGTGTGTGTGTGTGTCTGAGTACTGGTTGTCAGATAACAAAAACAACACTAGAAGGACCAGGATGTAGATGCAAGGTTGATGGGTTGGGGCAGGTAAACTTTCATCATAAAAATTAAGATGGCCCCAGGCAGCAAAAGCTGCCTCAGGTCTCCCCGGCAGGGGGAGGGCCGGCTGCCCCACTGAGCCGGCTGCCCACTGAGCCGGAGAAGAGCCTGTGCTTTGGCCAAGTGGTTAACGGGCTGACGTCTCCCTGCGGGCTGCAGCAGGACCGAGGGAGCGGGTGGGGAAAGGGTGTCAGCAGGGTTAGTCAGCAGCACGCTGCTATACATACCACCCAGATGCAAGTCGATGAGGTCGCTGTAATAAGACTCTCCCCAATAGTCTACAACAAGGAATTGATGAAGAGAGTTACTGGGTCTGATGACCCTCCTGTCCCCGCATCCCCAAAGCAATCAATGTCAAGAAGCATAGACACGGAGCTCGGAGAGGGAGAGCAGCTGCAGAGCGTGCCTCTCTGCTCCTGGGGGTGCGCCCCAGCCACAGGTGATGGAGGCGACAGCCAGGAGCAATGCACCCCTGTTCACCTCCATGATCAGTGAGTACACCTTGGCTTTGTTGGGAATCCTGGCCGTGCTGACTCAGCATTAGCTAACTAAGAAGATTTAAAAATATTCGAGGGCAGTTTCGGGGCAACTACTTCCTTAGTTACTGAGTATTAGGGACACCGGATCCACACACACGGCCCCACTGGTGAGTGCACCAAGCTCCTTGCACAACCACTTCTGCTAGCTGGGCTGCGATGAGGGAGATGCTCTTTCTTCCGAGGTTAGGCCCCGACTTCAGCCAGCCTTCCCTGGAAGAGCTGTGGCTATTTGCCCTCAGGGGTGGGGAACCATTTTTCTGCCAAGGGCCATTTGGATATTTATAACATTCGTGGGCCATACAAATTTATCAACTTAAAAGTTAGCCTGTTCTATTGGGTCAGGTTAATTTGGCAAGGTGTGTGGCGTTAGTTGGTAGACTTCGCGGGCCTTACATGGCCCTTGGCCTGATGGGCCCCACCCCTGGCTCGTGGAGGTCTGCTGGCCACGGGTGCTCCTAGCCTTCCAGCTCTGGGCAGCTGTCCAGGAAGGATGTTATGTTCTTCCCGTGCTTGAGATGCAGGACCTGGGCAGGTGGCCCTCCTCTCAGAATCACAAACAGATGCACAACAGAAGTCAGCTGCTCTCTCCCTTCCTCCACATCTCCCCACCTGATGCAGATCCGGCAGCCTCTCGTTCTCCAACAGGCCCCTCAGCAGGGCAGACCGGACTGTTTTTCCAGCTGAGGCGGACCCAGCGTTCAGGTCTGAATCAGGTTCTGGAGTAAGGGCCTTGCCCTCGGCTGGAAGGCTCTGAACCTAACCCTGGCGGTCTGCATATTCATGAACCTTGGCAATTTGCGACCAATGGATGGCAGCTTGGCTGACTGGCAGTCTGACCCCCTCAGCCAGCCGAGACAAACAGCAGGCTAGCCAGACGTCTGCCCCCAGGGAAGGGGCCGATGGGCCCTGCTGGGAGACTTGGCAGTCGTGCTGCACTGGGCCTGGCCGGGAGCAGCGGGGCTCCCAGGAGGAGAGGACGCGGAAGCAGCAGAGAGGTGGCGGCCAGGGCGCAGATGAGCCTCCGGGGTGGGCTCTGCAAGTGGGAGCAGGGCCCCTGGGACGTCTGACCGAGGGGAGCCTCGGAAGCGATGTGTTCAAATAAGAAAAGGAGAATAATATGTCTGGAAACATACTCTTATGGCAAGAGCTACTATACTCAGAACTCCCCAAATGCATCTTGGGGAGACCTCCCAACAGAGCCGCTGAGCCTGACTTTACAACAGGACAGACGGGCACTCACTGGAGAGAGGGCTTGGTAAAGCCCTGCTGAGGAGAGTACGGACTAGAACAGTGGCGAGAGCTGCTCCAGGGGTCCCCCAAATACCTGACTCACACATACTTTTGACCTATTGAAAAACGTAACGGAGACACCACATCCTGCTGTCTGACAGGCCGACTTCCAGCCCCTGAAGACCACCTGCACAGGTGGCCTGGTCAAACTGGTGTTTGCAGGAGCCCTCGGGCCGGGCTTCGCCACCCTCCCTGCAGGTGTGTCACGCGCGCCGCTGCCGTGCACAGGCTCAGCGTGCAGGGCCGGTCCTGCTGGCTCTGGCTCAGCCTCAGCAGCGCCAGCGCGGCAGGTCCTCAGGGCGCAGCGCGCGCCGCACCCACCGGAGCTTTCCTGAGACCTGCGCTTGGTGAGGAGTGTGAACTGCTAGGCTTGTCAGCGGTTTACCTGGGAAAACAACGCCTAGTGCTCTATTAAGTGTCAGTCACCTGCATCCTTTAAACTGGTGTGTCCTGAGGCCTCCAGGTGGGCTGTTAAAAACAGCTGCCATTTACAGCAACCACCTCCGTGTGGGGGTGTCCCCGACACAGGGGTGAGCAGCGAGCGCAGGCAGCCCTCCACTATAACCTGTATTTTCAGATCTGTGTTGATTAACATTGTAGAGTAATCCTTTTTGACTTAAACTCAGACTTGTAATTTGGTTTGTAAAAAGGGTTCTGCTCCTAAAAACACAAGTTTGAAAACCACTGACTTAATGAAATCCTGGCTATATATGTTTATGAAAAGATAATTACCTAAACTGGAAAGAGGAATTTTGGCAGTATCCTATGCCAGTCTTCAATGGCACATTTTTCTCTGACCGCTTGGGAGCCGGCGGCCTGAACAACGCAGCCCGTTGCAGAAATACTGAAGCACCGTCGCAGACTCAGGTGCTGGGCAGGGACCATCAAGCCTGGGGCGGCCCAGCCGCACCCCAGAGCCCGTGAGCAAGGGGCAGACCATCTTCCCTGAGGACTTCTGCTAACGAGATGCACACGCCTGTTGAGCTCATCTGACTGTGTTGGGAGGTGTACCCTTCACCTGCTGCTTTGGCAGAAGTGATCTGCAGGAGGGTGAGGAGTGACAGGCCCAGCTCCCGCCTGGCACCTTCTGCAAGAAGAGAAAGCAGGGGCAAGGCACGTCTGGGAGGCTGGGCCAACTCCCCCCAGGGCTCAGGCTCCCTGAGGAGGCCATCAGAGCATGCAGGGCAGAGAGCAGAAACCAGGATGGCGGGGACACCGGAGCGTCACCTGGAAGCCAGGGACACCCCGCATCTCCACTCCTGACTCGCGCCAGCACTTGCCAGCACTTGCCAAGCTTCTGGCTCACTGGCGCCTCCGTGCTTCGAATGTTTGCGTTCCATTTGGGGACTCGGGCTTCAAACAGTGAGCCCAGCATCACACAAGGCACAGAACCAACATCACACCCTCCTCTCTCCCCACCACCTGAAGGTCTTCGAGACCCTGAAGGTCATCACTGAGCCAACTGCTAAGCTTCAATTTCCAGGCCTTGTAGGGCCAGGAGACCACCTACTTCTGCACCTGACCCGACGCCCCATGTGAACGTCAGTTAAAGAGCCCCGAGTCCAGGCGCACGTCACAGGTCACCGGTCACAGGTCACCGGTCAGTGCTGCGCACCGTCAGATGGCAGCACCGGGCCCGCTCCTGGCTGCTTCTCTTTGGTTCTTCTTTGGTTTACAGACAGCCTGCCGGCCCCGCCACACCACAGTGAGAAAGGGGTAGGGCGTTGCCAGTGAAGTCACCGCCTTCCCTCAGCCCCAGCCTCTGGGCCTGGAGAGGTCTGTGCTCTCTACCAGGGACGAAGGTTTCCCCATCAGACTTGCCTCCTGAGAAAGCAGACCTCAATCACGCCACGCCTGTGATGGGGCTACAGTGGGGGCTGGCCCAATGGTTTTTAAGGTCTTGCACCAAGAGGGCTTCCCGGACCCTTGGGACCGCAGCTAAGGCAGGTCTCCCTGGTCTCCTCTGTGCCCAGCTGTGCTCAGCCAACCCCAGTGCCTGGGGCGAACAGTGGGTGTCACCGCACTGCGCTCCGGAGATCTCCCAGGAGCGGCAAGCACCAAGCGCAGGCCCTCACGGCTATTTCAGTGCCTGCTCGTGCTGGTTCACCCCTCTCTGAGCCTGTCCACCTGCCTTGAGGGACCAGACTCTCGGAAACACAGACCCTGGGTTCACTCTGGGAAACCCGTTGCTGCCCCCAGGAGGTGGTGAGCGCTCTGCGGGGTGTGTCCTCACGCTCTCTGAGCAGCTTGGGCCGGAAGGGAGCCTGGAGAGTAAAAGACAGGAGAGCAGGCAGACCCTGCTGGTGCCAGTCTGTGCTGATTCCTTGTGGCACAGGTCTCCCTCATTCCCAGTAATTTTCTTCCAGAGAGAATGATGGATGGGGAAGGAGGGGAGGCGGCCTGGTGTTTGCCATCAACAGAGGAAGTGGAGATTTCAGCCCACAGGTAACGCAAGCTCTAAGCCAGGGCGGGAGAACAGGTGTGGGCCTTGGGCAGTTGCAAGCAGAGGTGCTTTGCTTCCCTTTGTTCCACAGGATGTCCCAAATCTCAGAGGGGACCCAGAGAAGCCAGCGGGGGGCTTCCCTGAGGAACACACCTCCTCACGGGAGGACCCGACAGTACCTGCTTCTCCGCGGAGAGCCTTCTCCACGGCAACCCCTCTCTCCTCCAGCTGCCGCTGCTTCTCCTCCACCTGCTCCAGCTGCCGCTGAATGATCTGTGGGAACAAAACAAGAGCACCAACCCTGCATCTCCTAACCTTCAGGAGGACAAGTAACCTGCACACACAGAGAGAAACAAACCAGGTAAGAGATCTGGAAAGGCTCTGGTCAACGGGCATCATGCGTGTGTGAAGAACACGTGCGAGGCCCCAGGCCCATCCTCGGCGCCACCTGTGTGGGTGCTCATGAAGGAGCGGAGGACCCCTGTAGGACGGCACAAAGTGCTGCGGCCTAGGCCCTTGCTGACACTGCAGAAGCATGAGCAGGTCCTTGGGCAGGACTGCAGACATCCCCTCTCTACAGGGTTAAACAAAGGAATCTGAATGGAGCCACCAGCCAGAGTCTGTCTGAAGCACGAAGTGAGGAGTCCCTGTGCGCTACGTGGGCACTACCAATGGGCAACCAGGACATTCCGCCCCAGAGCAGCCGCAGCCAGGGACAGGCTAGTGCAGACAGTGTGCACGTAGAATCATGAGCAAGGAAAGGGCTCGCCCGGCCGGTGCGGCTCCGTGGCTGAGCATCGACCCTGCACCGAGAGGTCGCCGGTTCGGTTCCCGGTCAGGGCACATGCCCAGGTTGTGGGCCCGATTCCCAGTGGGGGGCGTGCAGGAGGCAACAATTGATGTTCTTTCTCCTCAATGTTTATTTCTCTCTCTCTCTCTCTCTCTCAAATTAATTTAAAAAAATATTAAAAAAATTATTTTTAGCCACCCTTCACCCTCCAATATACACTGGTCTAGGACCTGTGAGGCCTGCAGACAGGCTGGAGATGGGGCGGCAGCTTCGGCCCTAAGCCCCAGCCTGTGGAGGCGGGCAGGTCATGGCCTCAGCACGTGTTCTGACAGGTGAGCGAGCAGGCTTGGTGGTGGTGACCCCAGAGTGAGGCCTGTGGAAACTCAGAGCTCGGCTGCTCCCTTCTACCAGCACCTGCAGAGTCCAGGCTCCTGTAGCTGCATCATGCCAGGCGCTAGAGGCCTGAGCTGGGGGGCTGTCCACTCAGGTAACAGGGACACCCCATTTACTCCGCTCTGCCCTTTTTGCCCTCCCTCCTCGTGGACGAGAAGGGCGCTGCCATGTGACCCCCCTCGTGAGCGGTGGCCCCTGGTGTCACCTGGGCTCGGTGCAGCCGCTTCAGCTCCTCTTGCTTGGCCTGCCTCCGAGCTGCCTTCTGCACACGCCGGGTCAGCTTGGCATTCAGTTCCTCCTCCGTGTAAGTTCTTGGCTGGAGAGAATGACAGGTTTCCTCAGTCAGGTGTACAGAGCACGGTTCCAGGTCGCAGAATGCCCACAGGGCAAACAGGAGGGCCAGAGGCTGTGGACACGTCCAGGCTGCAGCTGGAAATGCCACAGGGCACACCCAAAGCTCCACAGGTGCGATGTGGCCCGTGACAGGGTCAGAAGGCTCAGGGGAGGACTGACCAGGGGTTAGCGCAGCCAGGGACATGTGCTCCTTATCACTGGTGTCACCTGTTTCTCTTTTTAGGACACTTTTAGGGTAAAAATATTGGTAAGATGTTTCCCATGCCTGTTGCTTCTAGGAGATATGTAGGGAAAGAAAAACCATGGTCCTTTCATTTTGTTTGGTATCAAAGCCACTTTCTTCAGGTGAGCAATATTTATAACATTAAGAGGTAACATTGGCACTTCCGGTCAGGATGGCGGGTAGGTAAACGTGGTCTCGCCTCCTCCCTCAACCACAGCAAAATGACAACTAAACTGTAGAACCACCATCATTCAGAACCACCTGACACCGAGCTGAATGGAAGCCCTACAACTATAGAATGAAGGCGAAGCCTCATGGAGACTGGTAGGAGGGCGGAGGCTACGGGCTGGTCCCACACCCACGTGTGGTGGATAAAAATCAGGAGGACACCCCGTCCCACACCAGGCACCCAACCCAGGGTTCCAGTGCCAGGAAGAGAATCCCCATCACTTCTGGCTGTAAAACCAGCGGGAACTGAGGCTCAGGGAGGCTGAGGCTGCTGGAGCCCCAGGCAGCTCCTCTTAAAGGGCCCACACACGGACTTACTCGGACCTGCTCCCTCTAGGCTCTAGCATAAGGGAGGCAGCTTGAGAGGGACCAGAAACATACAGGGAAGAACTGAGTTGTTCTGCTTCAGGGCAAGGGCTGGAGAGGTGGCTTTCTCCTGGACAGAGGTGCTAGCAGAGGTGTTGTTCCTTTGGTGAGCCCTTCCCCGGGGCAGCAGACAGCCGCCATACCTGGGACTCCAGCAACCTGGCTCACACTGGTAGCCCCGCCCCGGTGATTCCCTGAGGCCCTGGCCCACCCAGTTTTGGGGCCCACCCAAGCTGTTGCCAGTGGCTTTACCATAGGATTGGCCTGTCTTAGATCCTGCTTCAGAGTTTCCTAAAATCTCTCAAACAAGCTGCATCTGGTCTCAGTGAGCCCCATACCTCTCGTTAAGTGGCCCCAGGCCTGGCACTAGAAGCAGCCAGCCTTGGGTCATAGCTTGGCTTTGCCTGGGCACCTCCAAGCCCAGCACAAGCAGCAGCCATCTGCAGATCACTTTGTAGCTTATGCCTGGTGGCCCCGGATAGGACACAGGCAGGGGCTGACCCTGCCCCAGAGCCAGCACACCCAGTGGACAGCTTCAGACCACATTGAAGCACCACCACCCAACCACCTCCACAAGTGACACACTCAAGGAGTGGACTCAGTGGGTACCAGAGCCCTGCTGAAGTAAGTCTTGCTCTGTGTGGTGGGCCCTGCACAGCTGATCATCCAGGGTAGTCAGAGATCGGTGGATTGTGGGCACAGCCAGTCCTTGAAGCTGATCAGCCTGAGTAAATCCCTCCCATTGATGTGCCAACAGCAATCAAGACCATTACAACAGAAGGGTGTACAGTCCACACTAGGGGTGCACCTTGAGGGCCCAGCTGGGGTGATCAGGGAGGCTGTGCCACAGGATCCTACAGGACACCTACAACAATAGGCCACCCTGCCCTGGCCGGTTTGGCTCAGTGGTTAGAGTGTCGGCCTGCAGACTAATGAGTCTCAGATTTGATTCAAGGGCACATACTCGGTTGCAGTTTATCCCTGGCCCTGGTCAGGGTAATGTGGGAGGCAACCAGTCAATGTATCTCTCTCACATCAATGTTTCTCTCTCTCTCCCTCTCTCCTCCCTCTCTCTCATGCTATCTGAACAAAAATAGAAAAATGTCCTCGTGTAAGGATTAAAAAAAAAAAAAGCCACCCTGTGAAGCCTAGGAGACATAGCAACTCTATCACAGAGAAACAATCACAGGGAAGCAGCCAAAATGAGGAGAGACAAAGTAAAATGTCCCAAATTAAAGAACAGAACAAAATTCCAGGAAAAGAACTGAATAAAATGGAGATAAGCAATCAATTAGATGTACAGTTAAAACACTGGTTAGCCCTGGCCGGTTTGGCTCAGCAGTAGAGCATCGGCCTGCAAACCAGAGAGGCCCAGGTTCGGTTTCCACTAAGGGCGGGTGCCTTGGCTGCAGTTTGTCCCTGGCCCTGGTTGGGGGGTTGAGGTCGTGTAGGTGGCGGCCACTCTATGTGTCTCTCTCGCATCAATGCCCCCCCCCCCTTCTGCTCTATCTTAAGATAAATGCAAGGATGTCCTTGGGTGAGGATAAAACAAAACAAAACACTGGTTATAAGGATGCTCAAGGAACTTATGGAGAACTCCTAGGAACTTAGCGAGAACATCAACAACATAAAAAAAGACCAGTGAGAAATGAAGGATGCACTAACTGAAATAAAGAATAATTCACAGGGAATCAATAGTAGAGCAAGTGAAACCAAGAAGCAAACCATTGAATTAGAATATAAGGAAGCAGAAAACACTCAATCAGAATAGCAAAAAAAAAAAAAACAGAAAAATGAGGACAGTGTAAGGAGCCTCTGGGACAACTTCAAGTGCACCAACGTTATGTCATGGGGATTCCAGGAGAAGAGAGAGAACAAAAAATTGAAAACCTACTTGAAAAAATAATGACAGAAAACTTCCCTAACTTGGTGAAGGAAACAGACATACAAGTCCAGGAAGCACAGAGAGTCCCAAACAAGATGAACCCCAAGAGGCCCACACCAAGACACATCATCATCAAAATACCAAAAGTTAAATACAAAGAGAGAATTTTTTTTATCCTCACTAGAGGACATTTTTCCATTTTTTTTTTTTTTTTTTCCTCACCCGAGGACATTTTTCCATTTTTTGTTCAGACAGAGCGGGAGGGAGAGAGAGGGAGAAACATCGATGTGAAGGGACACATCGAGTGGCTGTCACCCGCACGACCAACCAGGGCCGGGGACAAACTGCAACTGAGGTACGTGCCCTTATCGGGAACCGAACCCGGGTCTCTCTGTAACGCAGGCCGATGCTCCAACCGCTGAGCCAAACCGGCCAGGGCCATTTTTCCATTTTTTATTCAGACAGAGTGGGAGGGAGAGAGAGAAGAGAAACATCGATGTGAAAGGGACACATCGAGTGGCTGCCACCCACACAACCCAACCAGGGCTGGGGACAAACTGCAACCGAGGTACGTGCCCTTAGTGAGAACTGAACCCGGGTCTCTCTGGACCACAGGCCGACGCTCTAACCACTGAGCAAAACTGGCCAGGGCTAAGCTCCTATTCTTAAAAATACACAGCACCTTGCTCCTGCTCAGCCTGACCCACACCACCATGGGAGTCAGGAGTCAGCATTCCCTGCACAGCCTCCAACAAACGGCCCCGCCTGTGTTGAGCATGAGGCGCTGGGATCCTAGGAGTGGGGTCCACGGCCTGTCTTTATGCGGAAGGGGAGGGGCTCCTTGTGCACCCCAGGCCTGCGAGACCCGGGAGAGGCTGTGGTCAGACAGCAGCCTTGGCACAGTCAGCTGGGTGGTCTGCATTCAGCACTTGGTCACGGGGTTTCCTAATCCACAGGCAGACCTGACCACTAGGAACCACAGGTGGACATTTCCAACCAACTGGCCGCTCGTGTGCACTGAGGCCCCAGGCCCCTGAGCAGCCAGCTCCACCGCCAGCCCCAGGAGAAGCTGTTGGTGTAGTGCGAGCCCACAGGGTGGGAGTGCACACGGCCCCGCTGCGGTGGGACGGGAGGCCCACGTGGCCCGTGCCTGGCTGAGCCATCGGAAGCTCTGCACATGGCTGCGGTGTCGGGAGGCCTGACCACCGAGGTGTCCCAGGAGGACAAACACAGAGCTGGCGTGGCCAGGGGGGCAAGCAATCCAGAATGAGATGAGAACTGAAAGACTGGTTTCATCTGGTCTGCAAGGTTATGAAGTGAGGAACCAGATCAGGCTGCGAGGAGGGAACTGGACAGACGGGTCGTGGCCTCCCTGGCGCTGATCGAGAGGGCTGACTCAGGTCCAAGCCCTGGGAAGCCTCGTAAAGAAGGCACAGAGCGTTCTGAGGAGGGTTTTCCCTCAAAACAAGGGAGCTGAAGGCACCTGGACCTTCACCTTGGACAGGAGAGTGAGCGTGTGCCAGGCTGGACGGCGGCGGCGGCGTGGGAAGGCTCCGGCCCGCCCGGGCACACGCAGTGCTCCCGTCACTCGGCCCTGGCAGGCGCGACTGCATGTGGGCCCTGGAAAGCCAGGAGGACGAACGGACAATGCCGGGCTGCTTCGCAAAGACAGAATGACTCTCTGGGCATGGAATGTCTGTCTTCACCAGGACTGAACCCAGGAACTCTTGCCATGGAAGCAAATAACCCCCAGCTGCTCACTGAAAAAGCCCGCTGCTCCCGTGCGTCCCCCACGCAGACCATGGGTGAGGCTCAGGCCTCCGCGTGCCTGCTGGGGCCCGTACCACCCTGCTCTCCTCCCTGCGGCTCAAAGACTGCACCCAGCAGAGGACGGCCCGAGCCCCAGAGCCCTCCGACCGGCCCACGCACCTCTCGCTTGCACTTCTGGGAGGCCCGCTCGAGGACGTCGTCGCTGGAGAGGTCAGAGTCCTCGGAGAAACTCGGCTGGTGCCGGAGCTGCAGCTCTGCGGACGATGGAAGGGCAGGGTGAGGGCAGTGCCCAGTGTCAGCGCTCGCCTGACTTCCACCTTTGCAAGCAGTCTGGGAGTGGGGGCTTGGTCTGTTCCTAGTTAGGTAACTCTTTTCCCACACTGGGAGCCAGGAGCTTGGATGCTGACGCTTTTTCAGCCAGGGTGGCTGACGCTGAAGAGATGGTACCCAAGACAGCCTGATGGACCTGCGGCCACACGCCCTCCTTTGGGGCGACGCCACTTTAGAAAGTGCACAGCCTCCCACCTCCCTCCCCCGGCCGCAGGCTGGCTTTTAGAACCCCTGCATTCAGTGGAGGCTACTCTGTGAACCATGGTTCCGCTCTCCCCCCCACACTGCAGCATGGCCCCAGGACCCTGGGGGAGCATGGTGGGGACGGAGGGGTGCCCGCTCGCGCCCTGTCCCGGGAGCCACGCTGGCCCACCTGCTCGCACTGCTGGAGGCGCCCTGCGCTGGCCCGAGCCCACGGTGGCACCGCTGGAAGGGGTGCTGGAGCAGGACCTGTCGTCGCCCTTCTTCTTCTTGTCCTTCTTGTGCCCAGAGAAGACCGACTTCCACAGGGACCGGGGCTTGGCAGCAGCTTCCTCCAGGAGGTCTGGGCTGGGCTTCTCGGGGGGCCGGCCCTCACCTCTGGCCTTCCTCTCCTTCTTGTTTCTGCGAGGGGAGAAGAGTGACGATCTCTTCTTGCTCTTCCCGCTGGAGCCCTCGGAGGAGGTGACGGACCCTTCTGGGGCCCCCGAGTCCGACGTGGGGGAGAGGAACTCCTCGCTGGTGGCTTTGTGCGTCAAGGTGGGCTCCTCGGGGCCTTTGTGGACTGGGTGTTTGGGGGACTCAGGGGTCCTGCCTTTGGAGGGCATTGGGGCGGCTTTGCGGCTGGCGCCGCCTGGGGGCCCGCAGGTCCCAGCCCCCGTTTCCATCTCCTTCATCCGACTCAGCTGCTTGGCCATGGCGTCTCTCAGTGCCTGGCTCCTCACTGACTTCTCCCTGGCTCGCATGCGCTCCGCAGCCAGCTCCTTGGCTTCTGGCGAGACTACTGGTAACCCCCTCTTCTGCTGTGGGACCCCGCTCTCCAGAGGTAGCAACCTACCATGCTCCTTGGCTAGGGGTGAGTGGGGGGGCTTTTCAGAGCGGGGCCAGCAGGAAGGGGGTGTGAAGAACTTCTCCTGCAGACTCGATTCCTCAGTCTTGTCGTCATACGTGTCCTCCACGTCATCAGCAAAGGGGATCTCGTCTACACTCTCCACAAACGACTTCCGCGCCTCCTCCCGCTGGGGCTGGGCAGGCTCTCGGGGGGGCCGCAGAACGGCGGCAGGCGGGGTGGGTGGGGCCCCCGAGGCCTTTGGTTCCGTCTCCTTGTGCCCATATATCTGATGTGGCTTCCTTCGAAGAGTTGCAGGCTCCTCATCCTGGGGTGGGGGTGGGGGCGGGCTTGATGGCGGGGTGAGCATGGTGGGGTCCGAGGTGTTGAAGCTCTGGCTGCCCCAGGTCTTCATGTTGGAGGAGCTCCCGTGAAGGCCCAGCCCGGAACTGCTGGACAGGTCTCTCCGCTCCTCGTGCAGGCTCTTCAGCTCCCTGTGTGAGGGGGACTTGGGGGTGGGCAGGGGGGGCTGCTCACCACCTGACTTCGGCGGGCCCTGTCTCTCAGGAGCAGGTGGAGGCTGTAGAACATGGAGCCCCTCACCCTGACAGGACTTCTCCCCGGAATAGGGTTTTAGGGGCAACGGCTTAAAGGCAGGTGCGGGGAAGCTGTGCTCGGGCCCCTCGCTCCGATGCACAGGTGTGAGCCCGAGGCTGCGGCGGATTTCGGCACTCTTCATCCAGAACTCCTCCACCAGGCTGTTTGGCTTCAGGGCCTCGTCCATAGCAAGAGGGCTGCCCAGCCTGTCCGTGGCATCCCCTTGGTTCTTCATGTGGAGGGGGGGCAGGGGGGTGGATGTTTTGGCTGGAACAGGCTGGAAGCATATGGGAGACTTGGTGGGGGATGGGACGGTGGCCTCACAGGAAGGCTGAGGCTGGGAGCAAATGGGGAGCGGGGCGGGGTTGGGGGTGGCCACTGGGGACAGGCCCTGTGAACTGACTGGGGAGACAGGCGCCATGGTTGCTGGCAGAGCTGCGGGCTGGGACTGGACGGGAGAGTGCACGGTTTTCTGACTGCTGGGAACGTCCGCCGTGGGCTTTGCTTTAGAAACCAAACCCTCCAGGAAAAGGTGCTCCTTGGGCGATGTCACCTTGGTCGCCCCAGAGGGCAGTGGGATCCGGGCCCCCTACAGAAAACAAAGACAGAAGGAAGCTGCTTAGAGGCAGAGCCTTGGAGCTTTCTCTCCGAGGGCCTGTGCCTGGAGATGGGCCCGTCTCTCCATCCGCTGAGCTGCTGCTCAGATGGCCCCAGGAGAACATCCCACTTTCTGTAATTTTCAGAACCACTCTACTCAGTTGAACAGACTCAGTTTTCCGGGTCTGGCCCATCTCAGACACACCGTGTGTTCTGTGCGCAGAGGTGGACGCTGGTCAGAGACACTAGGGAACTCGGCTCTCGCTGCCCAAGAGCGCCAAGATCTGAGCCAAGAGCATGTGGCCACCCTGGTAGGAGGCTTAAAACAGCTATTTTACAGTCAGCTCATCAGCGGTCCTCCAGGAAGCTCAGATCTGACACTCCGCCCTCCTGCCGCGTCTGCAACGCCCCTCCACCTCGCAGGAAATCACCAGGCCGCTGGCATCTCAGAGCCCAAAGACCAGACCGGTCCCTCCCTGATGTTTCCTCCAGAAAGTATTTTCCAAACCGTGTTCCATGGGACATATTGTTACAGTGTGTTTACATAGCATTCTCCAGTGTGAGGTCATCTGGATAAATATTTTTAATTAAAAAAATTTTTTTTCTTTATTTTTAGAGAGAGAAAGGGAGAGGGAGAGAGAGAAACATTGATGAGAGAGAACGTCAGTTGGCCGCCGCCGACATGCCCCCCACTGGGCATCAGGCCCACAACCTGGGCATGTGTCCTGACCAGGAATTGAACTGGCGACATCTTGGTGCATGGGTTGACGCTCAACCACTGAGCCACACCGGCCGGACAAATATTTTTAATTTTAAAAGTCACAGTTCAGCCCAGCTGGCGTGGCTCAGTGGGTTGAGTGTTGTCCCATGGACTGAGAGGTCCCAGTTTGATTCCTGGTCAGGGCATATGCCTGAGTTTCGGGCTTGATCCCCAGTACGGGGTGTGCAGGAGGCAGCTGATCTATGTTTCTCTCTCACATTGATGTTTCAATCTCTCTCTCCCTTCCTCTCTCTAAAAAATCAATAAAAACACATATTACAAAAAAGTCACTGTTCATTTTAACATAATATTAAGAAAAACTGCACCTGTCACAGTGAACCAATGATTCCACAAATATTGCTTTAATTTAAAAATAAACTCATTGCCCTGGCCAGTGGTTAGAGCACTGGCCTGCAGACCGAGGGTCAGAGGTGTAATTCCTGGTCAAGGGCACATACCTGGGTTGCAGGTTTGATCCTTGGCCCTGGTGGGGGTTGTGCAGGAGGCGACCAATGTGTGTGTCTCTCTCATACTGATGTTTCTCTCTCTCCCTTCCACTCTATCTAAAAATCAATGGAAAGATATCCTTGGGTGAGGATTAAAAATATATCTAGAAAAATAAACTTATTGTTGAAATGGTGTGGGACGTGGACAGGACGGAGCGGCGGTGCGGGCAGCCAGGCAGAGCAGGGCGCGGACGCTGCCTGGCCCCACCGGCGGGCTGAGCTGCAATCCCAGTCACCCCTGTTCTCAACAGCCCCATTTAGCACAAACAGCAAAACAATGAAAAAGGGCTTTCACTCAGAGAATTGTCCCCTTCAGTGAGCCCCAACTCTTACCTGGGCCGTGGGGCTGCAGACTGGGGGGAAGGGAACATGGTGTTCCGAAGGGGGCCGGGCGGGGCTGGAGACCTGGGAGGGACCTGGAAGGAGAGACGGGGCTGAGGGGACCTGGTTCCCGGGCGGGAGCCTGTTCCAGCCCGCAGGGCGCCAGGCGCGGCCTCGCGGGGTCAGTGCTGGCTTCGGGCCATGGTGTGGCCTGTCCCAATTTGAGCTGGGCCTTCTCCCCTTTCACAGCCCCAGTAACACAAGAGGAGGGCCCCTGGCCCGTGGCGGGAGGCCGGCACCTGAGGCTGCGTGAGGAGAGCCCGCGCAGCCCGCGCCCGGAGCCCTCGGCCACTGTCCTCATGGGAGTGTCTCCTGCCCCCGCAGACTGACCTCCCTGGTGATGGGGCAGGGGGGCCGGGGGCCGCTCCTCCTCGCTCTCTGAGATGGTCAGCTCCGGCTCCGCGTCTCCCGCCTCCAGGGGCCGCCCGGGCAGCGGGGCTCCGGCATCTGACGGGGTGTCGTCAGACCAGTGCTGGTCTGGCAAAGGGAAGGAGGCACAGGCTGGAGGGGGGCTGCTCCCGCCCGGTGCTGCCTCCCGGAGCACCCCCGGCCACTGCAGTGCGGACGCTCTGCTCTCCGGCCGGGCCCTGCCCGCTGCTGCTCGCCCAGCTCCTGCCGCTCGGCCAGAAGCGCCTCCTCTGAAACACGGCGCTTTGCAAAGCCCGTGGTGCCCCCCTTTCTTCTGAAATACACCAGGTGACACACGACGGCCACGGCCGCGGCAGAGAGCAGGGCAGTGGGCATGCCTGTGGAGGGCAGGCCTTGCTTGCCGGGCCACCCACATGCTTCTCCCTGCACAGCACCTCCCGGCCCGCCCACCACGGCGGCTGAGGCCGTGCCCCTCACTGTGCCTGGGCTGCTCTCATTTATCCCAGCCGAATCTTCGCCCCTGGCTCCCCAGCCAGACTAATTCTCAAAATACCATCTTGTATCTAGTTTTCCGAGGGCATCGGCTGGGTCACGGGCTCCGTACAAGGCCCAGACCTACGCAGTTTCTCAGCCACATTGGTGAACGTGGTGGCCTGTGGGCGGGTGAAATGCCCGCATTCAAGTTTGGGGCTAAACAAGGAATGATATCTGCTGCCTCCCCCGAGCTCCCTGCTTTTGCTTAACGTGTTTTTCTCTTTCCTGAGTTCAAAGTAGTCTTGCCTGTCCCCAGGGAGGAAGAGGGTGCTCGCCACAGCGAAGGGCAGGCTCTGGGGTCCCCCTACCATCATCCAGCTCAGCACCAGTGTCCCCCGTGTCCCCATTCTCTGCCGCCTCCCCTTCTATCTCTGCCGGCTCCGAGTCCACGTCTTCCTCCAGGCCAGTCTCATCAAACGGGACTGCAAAGCAGAAACAGTCAAGGAAGAGCAGGACAGAAGGACAGGCAGACGGCCTCGCAGGCGGGAAGCAGCAGTGCCCCCAGGGCCATGACATGAAGACCACCGGGGGCAGGGCTCAGACCCCAAGTGCAGGCAGTGAGACCTGGGCCCTACCTGAGCACCCGAGACTAGCATCTCTCCTCCAGAAGGCTGTGTGGATGGGAGGGCAGCTTAGGGCCGGTCCCCTTTCCTCCTCCTCCAGGTGCTGCTGCAAGGGCCCTGGTTTGAGGACAGAGGGGACACTGCTGCTCCAGGCCCAGGAGGCACCAGTGGCAAGTTGTGTAGCAATGGTGTCATTTAACACCATCAGGGGGACCGTTTGTGAGTCTGGTGGGTGAGAAAGCACACACTCCGCTCCGCGCACCTGGAGTCACACCAGCTGTCTGAAGACAGCTCAGGTACCTGCCGGGCCACCTGCTCCACCTGGTGGTTGCAGTGGTGTATGTGGGCGAGGTCACTGTTGGGGGAGGGACCAGCAGGACCCCCAAGGGCACCGCACCCCCTTTCAACTGGCAGAGGAGGCAGCTTTGCTTGGAATAATGTAGAGAAATATTTTTCTAAAGCATAGCGGGGAGGGGAATGAGGGCTTTGTCAAGTTCATTTTCTAGACTCAGGACCAGCCCTTCAGTGCTACAAAATGAGGCAAAGCATTAATCAACTTCATTTCTCCTGAGGAGGAGCCAACCCCTAACACACACACACTCACACACACACACTCACTACTGCTACCCTCTGCACACTTGGAGCTCACACTAACTGAAGTAAGAAAAAGCAATTCAGAAGGACGAACGGGCCCAGCTTTAAAGGGCGCTGTGAAACGCCAGTGTGCCCAGCCAGCAGTGCCACTGGTCAGGGGTGCTGGGCTTCTAGGGTTCGCAGCACAACACCCGCAAACTGTTCTGAAAGGTTTTCAGGTAGGAAGAGGGCTCAGGCTCTGGTCGGCTGTTCACCAGCCCGAGGGTCGGAGCCCGAGGGCAGCAGGGCGGGGACCTGGCCTCGGCACAGGCTGGGCTTCTCACGAGGCAGAGCTGGATTGGAGAGGCAGCCGCGCGTCTGCACCCGCACCTGATGGGTGTGCAGGGCGAGTGTGCAGAGACAAGTGTGGCCCCAAGGCCCGCGTGCCTACCTTTGGGGCAGGAGAAAGGGAAGGGGTACTTGGAAGACACTGGCAATGTTTTACCTCTTGACTTTTTGCTTTTAATAATTCCGTAAGCTGTGTACTTATCTCACCATCCTGTGTCTACCGAGCTTACTAAAAATAGGGTGCTGGTTTCACGTCTAGTTTCGGAGAACTACACTGAAGAGGTCTGGAATGACATTCCAGTTTCGGGGAGGGGAGAACCCAAGACCAGCTGTCGGCTGGCCAGCAGTGCGTGCCACATGCCTCCTCTGAGACAGCGGCCATGGAGCTGGCGACACCAAGATGCTCTCCGAGGACACGTCTGCTGGGACGACACTGGGGAAGCGGCCCGAGTATCCCACAGCCTGCAACCCCCTGGGTGGGGACACTGCGCCAGTCCCTCCAGGACGGCAGCTCATCCGCAGCAGGGAGTGGGGCCCCGAGGCACATGTCTCTGTGCCCCTCACACCCGAGCTTCCTGTCTGGGGAGTGGGCTCCTGGTTGCCCTCCATCACGGCCGCCCAGGCTGGCGGGCGCTGCTGCTTCCTCCTTGCAGTCACTCCCGGGGGGAGGAGAACCCAGGCCATCGTGCAGAGGGCCCACTGTGCCGACACGGGTGCCCGGGCGGGTGGACCTTTGCACGGCCACTGGTCAGCGCCAGGGAGCAGGCACAGAGGAGGCCGGGGCCCAGGCCTCCCTCACACAGCTGCTCGGAGCGTTTTCTCTGAGAAACGTCTCTGCAGAGTCGGGTGGGTGTGGAGGCTCAGCCCTTGGGAGCACCGAGAACCAGGGGCACATCCAGTGACCACAAGTGAGGCGTGTCAGTGTCGCGCAGATGCCGAGGCGCAGCTGGGGGGCTGGTTAGATCCAGGTTAAGTGCAGTGCAGGGTGCTAGAAGCTGCCACACTACAGAAGCCAGAAATTGCTGGCTCAGTCAGCCACTAGCTAGAAGTCCTGACAATTCAGTTTTGTCTAGCTGTCCTGGGAATACACACTAACAGCCAGGAGAACGTGAGCGGCAGTCCCTGCGCTCGGAGCTCACGCCGCTCTCCCTGCTGCTGTGAGGGGTGTGCCAGGCTGGGGGGAGGCTGGCGGTGAGCTCCATGAGCTCCCACCTTGCCCGCCCAGAAGTAACCACTGGCACAGTTGTTTTCAAGCAGGGGCACCCCTGCCCTTCCCTGAGGTCGCTGGTCTTGCACAGAGGTGCTGCTGGCCGTCCCGCTGGGGAGCAGAGTGCAGGCTGCGCTGACATTGAGGGGGACAGGCCAAGGATGTTAAACATCCTGCAATAGAAAGAACTGTCCTGCCCCAATGCCAGGAGCCCCCCTCTGAAACACCTCTCCAGAAAAGTTTAGGACAACGGAGGTTTGTCAGCTATGTCTTGGCTTAATGACTTAAAGAGATAAATCTGAGGACCCAGCTGATGCCACACCTGCCTGGGCCCAGCCTGTCCGTGTGCTGTGAGCGGAACACCACCTGCTGTCCTGCTCTGCCCACTGCACTGCTGTGTGTGCCAGCAGCCCGAGCAGCGGCTGCCCGGCGGACACTTCAGTAGGTCTGCGGGACACTGACCGATCCCTTTCCTTCACACTCCACTCGTTTCTACAGACCTTACATCTCAGTGCTAAAGATGTTCCTTCAGCTTTGGCCTTTCCCCAACCTCTGCTGATGAAAACGAGCGTGTCTCTGTCCTGTCTACACCACGGCTCGCCTCTGGGCCGTCCCGCAGAGCGTGGGCGTGCCTCGTGCATGCAAGGAGGGCTGCCCGAGTGAGGCATGCACGTGCCCGCCCCCCGCCCTGGGCATGCACTCGCGGCCCAGCGTCCGGTGTTAAGGCATCAGCAGAGCTGCCGAGAGACAGTTACGGTGAGTGGGGAGAGAGCGGACATCACCCGACTACCTCCGGACACTGTCTCCAGCCAGGCCTGAACTGCTGCGCGGCGTATGGAGGGAAGGTCAGGCACTGAATTTAAAACAGATGATAAATACAAAGTTACACAAGAATAAGTGTTCCCAGTGAGGAGAGTTGAGGTCATTCCTAAAGTCCAAAACAAAAGAGAAACGGAGATGACGCTACAGCAGGGGCCTGTCCGGCACCGACCAGCCTCTGTGAGGGCGTTCAGGGTGAGAAAAGGGAAGAAAACACAGCGGGCAACGCAAGCTCCAGGATGCAGGGCTAGCGCCACCTGCAGGGCAGTATGACGTCCCTGGTCCGTAGGGTTCCTTTCCTCTACTCCTGCAGAGCTTCTGGGTACTTTTTAAAATGAATTTTCAGAGAGAGAAAGGAAGAGGGAGAGAGAAACACTGATGAGAACGAAACATAGATCAGCTGCCTCCTGCATGCCCTACCAGGGATGGAGCCCACAACACAGGCATGTGCTCCGACCAGGAACTGAGCCCGCAACCCTTCAGTACACACCGGACGATGCCCCACCCAGAGCCACACCGGCCAGGCGCTTCTGGGTATATCTATATTGCTGCAGCAACAGCTAACCGAGGTTGTTCTTGCCTGTAGGGGAAGATTCGGGGCGCATCCAGTGACGCCATGAAAGGCTGTTCGTGAACACAGGGACCACCCTCCAGACCACGACTGCAGGGTGTGTGGCCCCAGCAGGAACGAACGGAGACACAGAGTAAGTGAGCAAGACGGGCAGACGGTGCAGAGGGTGGAGTTGTGCATGACGCCGCGGCACAGCCCTCCAGCTCCCTCTCTTCTCTTATTGTTTGCTGGTCCTTAAAAGGACCCAGAGTAAGGTTCATGTTCATCCTGCTGCAGAACACAGATCCTCTTGCCTACAACCTAGAGCTGGAAATTATGCTCGCTACTTAGAGGCCTCCTTGATACAAATTTCTCCGTAAAACCTCATTTCTATTCAAACTGCGCTTCCCCTGCCCCATCCTGCACACTCCCACCCAGACACACTCCACGAGTAAAGGGCCCGACACTCCACCACGTGGAGGAAGAATAACCCTGCCTAGTAATACAGGGGAAAGAATGCAAATTCTTAATTCTCCAAGATCAAGTTCGTTTTATCATTGTGCACTGGTGGACAAAGAGCCCGTATCCTCTTAAACCAGAGAACTTTCCATATCCTCAGACAAAAGCCCGGGGCAGTGGTCATGATTAACATCAAGAAAATGAAATGTTCTGTCAGCTCTTACTTTTGGTCAAGCTGGTGGCTTTGGCCGACAGAAAGTCCTCTGCAGCGAGGACAGGGGTGCAGGGACAGAGACCCTCCTGGGGCTCAGGCCCCTGGATGCTGAAGCCGTTACCTCTAGAAGTGGAGGGCTCAGAGGTGGGCACTGCTCGCTCCTCCTGCTCTTTCTCGCGAACATGCGTCCAGTGCACGTCAGCCTGGATCTCCAGGGGATCAGCTGCGTTTATGACCTGCTGCAACCTCCCAGCTACTGTGCCAGGTTCAAGGGTGGGAGATGAGAAGGGAGAGACGATGGGGAAGAGGAAAGGAGAACAGTCAAGGGAAGGAGGGAATGCAACACCACAGGAAAGGAAACAGAAAGAAAGGTTACCATATTTGCAGGATCAGTTTGAATCAGAAAGAGACAAGAGCTGAGAATGCATGGGCGCGCACACACACACACGCGCGCGCGCACACACACACACACACACACACCCCTTCACCTCGTCCAGTCTGACGCTGTCATTTCAAGTTCACACTGTTAATTTCAACAAGGAGAATAACAGTCCGACTCCCATGCAGGACGAGCTTTCCTTACTGAGGCTCTTCTCACGCACAGCATTCGAGGGACCCGCGTGCCCAGTTAGAAGGGACCGCAGAGAGCAGCCCGAGGGCCATCCCTCCAGAGGTCATGAGGACTGCGCTGTGCCCCAGCACAGCGGGGCCCTGAGCACGCACCGCTCACACGCCTTCTGTGGGTCACACGGCATGGTGCTCACCGCCACCCGCCACGCTTCCCTTTGAAAGGTGAGTGACGTGATAAGAGAGAGGTGGGATGGGTCATTCTGCCATGAACCAGCCAACTCACACAGGACAGAAATGTACTTTCTTGCTATTTTAGTTTTTATCTTCTGGAGCCAGAGAAAAAGAAGCTGCGCCACCCCTTCTGTGAATGGCCCCGGTGCTGCAGGACACAGCTGTGGGGGAGGATGGGGCTGGGGGGCAGGGCTGGGGAGGAAGCAGAGCTGTCCTGCAAACTCCCAAAGCTCTGGGAGCTCATGGGGAGACAATACCTCTCTGCATTTTCTGAGGTCAAAGCCCTCTGTCTTTAAATTCCATTTGGTATCCCGCTGGACACAAGACCCGGTTTCTCAGCTGAATGGGGACTTACCAGAGTCCCCCATTTTATTCTTGCTGTCAGAGCCCAGGGTGTGCATGCGGCCCTGCCCTGTGGGCTCCCTGTAGTCCGTGCTTGGATCAGGCCATACAGTTGGGTTAAAATAGAGGAGCCTCCAGAACTCCGGGGAGGGCACACTACAGAAGAGAGCCCTGCCTGACCTGAGGGCTCTGGGGTTCCCGATGGGAGCCTGCTCCCAGCACCCTAAGTGCACAGAGGCTCTGGCACCACCACTACAGACAAGCTGCTCATCCACAAGAGCAGGGAACGTGACCTGGGCAGAAGTGCGTGAGGACCACCAGGTGGGATGCGGGCAGTGTGTTATCAGACGCGGCGCTGTAGGCCATGCAGGTCCATGCACACGTCTGAGGCCAACTGGCCTTTACAGTGCTGGACGGGGCTGGGCCACAGCAAGGTCACAGCCTGACGTCTTAGGGAAGAAAGTCGGAGAGAAAAACAGGCTCTTTTCATCTTCACGGCAACAAAGGGAAGACAGTGAGTCTCCTCCCTGGTAACGTCCTGCTTCCTATTCATAAACGGAGCCTTGGGGTTCTCTGCCCACCCCCTTCCTTTTCCTAGGGTAATGGTGCAGGGAGGTTCTGGGCCCCTGAACCCCTGCTGAGAGCTGCGGCTGTGATGGGGGTTTCCTGCACTGGGAAGGAGCCCGTCGGAACTGCACGAGGGGCCTGGCAGCAGAACACGAGGGGCAGAGGGGCCACGTTTAGTAAGGCTGCTCCTGCGTCTTCTCCGACTTCCTCTTGAACCTGTCTCCCGTGCTGTTTTCTGCATGGCTATCCAGGAGGCTGGGCCCAGGGGTCTGTGCCAGAGTCTCAGTGCAGCTGTGTAAACAGGTGTTTTCAGGGGAGACCTGCTCTTGGCTGCCAGGGAGGTGGGCAAGAGGCAGAGCGGGTACCATTGCATGTACCCGATTCTTCTTCCTTTGACGGATGCTGGGCCCACGGGCCTTGCTGATCCCTGTCCCAGGGGCAATACCCCCTTCTACATAGGGGGAGCCAGACGCCCACAGCACAGTGACAAGACCCCGTGTGGGGACACACAGGGAGGAAAGAGAAGAGGAACGTTATCCTTGCCGCGAGGCAGGCCCGTCTGCCACTGTCTGCCCAGGTATCGAGTCCACTGCCCAGACACACAGGCCAGAGGTCAAGAACGAGGCCTAGCGCTGGCAGGACTTGTTGGTCTGTTTCTCGGGTCTCGATGCCAGGCCCATGCCTGGGAAGTTAAGTCTGTCGGGGGAAGGCAGGCTGTGACACTGAGCCGTGTCTGGGGCTAGGGCCACTGAGCACATTAATCATCAGATGGAGATTAATGACGTCTGTAATGATACAAACACAATACCTTTCCCTGAAAGAGCTGTGAGCGTGCCCACCCCTATGAGCAGGGATACGGGGTCGTGCGGGGCCAGCTGTGGGCCAGAGACACGGCCCGTGGAGAAGGAGCCCAGTGCCGGCTTCCTGGCCCCGGGCCTGCCTCCTTCTGCACGTGGAGCAGAGTGGGGCGGGTGGGCAACACTGCCCTGGGTCCCACCCCAGAGGAGAACAGGTGCAGGGAACTCCTGAGAGCACCTGCGCACAGGCCCTGCCGCTGGTGGTTCTCGCTGACGTGGGCACCTCGGGGGCAGGTCGGCACGAGCTTTCTTCTCGCCTACTCCGCCTGATCAGGGCCAGGGTCCCACAGCCACACAGCCCCTGGGCTGCTCAGGAGCACACATCCTGGCTGGCAGGGCTCTGCGTCTGGCCGGCACTCGGCCCTTGCTGTGCCAGAGAAAACAGACCCCGGACGGACGGGCAGGCGAGCCCTCCAGGGCCCACTCCAGGGCCCAGAGAGCACACAGGGAGTGGGCAGGGCACCACCCTCAGAGCTGGGGCTCCACCTGCCTCTTTCTTCTTTACCACTATCACCAGGGGAGGAGAGAATGACCCTCTCACCAAGGCAAAAAAAGCAGGCCCAGCAAATTCTTCCCATTCACTCAGGACAGAGCCAGGCACAGGGACAGAGCTGAGATGTCTTGAGTCCAAAGCAAGAGAATACTTCAGAGCCAACCAGCCAACTCAACACTGGAAGAGACATGACGCTCCTTCTCAGGACACTGGCCCAGACACGCCGCTGCCCGTCACTGACTACTACCCTGCACGTGGCACCCAGCTCACGGCCCCTCAGGACACCGGCCCAGACCCGCCGCTGCCCGTCACTGACTACCCTGCACGTGGCACCCAGCTCACGGCCCCTCAGGACACCGGCCCAGACCCGCCGCTGCCCGTCACTGACTACTACCCTGCACGTGGCACCCAGCTCACGGCCCCTAAGGACACCGGCCCAGACACGCCGCTGCCCGTCACTGACTACCCTGCACGTGGCACCCAGCTCACGGCCCCTCAGTGACAACAGCCCCGGACAAATGTAAGATCGATTTTTGCAGCCTGCAGTACCAAGGACTGGGTGTCAGGAATCCTCTAGAAAGCTAAACTCCCTTTCTTTACTAAAATAAATTTCATTGGCTGAAACTAAAGGGAAAAAAACAGAAAATGAGAAGGGGAGGAGAACGAGGGACCCAAGCTGGCCTCTGCCTCCCAGTGTCGGCTGAGCATGTGCACGGGAACCCTGCCCACCGGCGATGGCCGCGCTGCTGCTGTCATGAGCCAGACACTGGAGGGGCTCAGGCGCAGGGAGGGCTGCCCCGGTGAAGCGTGGGGCTGGACGGGGAAGAGTTCTCTGACCTTCACTAGACTCCTCGTCGTCCTCGTCATAGTCCTCGTCCTCTTCGTCCTCTTCGTCCTCGTCCTCGTCCTCCTCCGGCTCGCAGCTCTGCGAGGTGCCCAGCTCCTCCTCGCTCTTCCCCTTCAGAAGGGCGTGGATCCTCACCGCCTCCTTCCAGGGAACGCCGCCCAGGTCCGAGGTGGGCAGTGGCTCCTCCTCCATCTCAGACTCGGAGCTGCTGTGGGGAAGCATGTCTGAGTGAGGAGGGCGAAGCTGCGCGGGGACGGTAGAAAGCCACAATCTGAGGCAAGTGTCCTGCAAGCCCAGCTGGGTCAGGACACCGTGGAGGGGTCAGGACACCGTGGAGGGGCCAGCTGCTTCCCTGCCCAGGCTGGACACACACGCACGTGCGAGCCACCCCGACGCGACCCACGAGCGGGCAGCCCGCCTGGTCCGCCGTCTGTTCAGGGTCAGCCCACAGAGGCCCTAGAGGAGGCTGCAGGCCCTGGGCCCATTTTGATGTAAACTCAACCCCAGGAATCAAGAGTGGAGAATGAGTCTCTTTTCACTGTGACCGTTTGGTCTGAGGACCTCAATTCTCCTGAACTCTGGTGGATGGAAGGAAGGCTCACGGGAGCCATGCGAGCAAGGAGCCGCCCGAGATGAGAATGAAGCCTCGACTGCAGGCGGGCTGGCGGCCGTCCGGGTCTGGAGGGAGGTGGCGCCCTGCTTCCCAGTGTTCCTGGGGCCCCTGCCACGTGCCATGCCGTGAGCTGGGCACAGCGGGGAGACAGGCAGCATGGCAGGCCCGTGCAGGGACTGTGGACACGGCAGAAACCGTCCCCCCCGGGTCACTGCTCCTGGGCACAGGCACAACCTGGCTCAGTGGGGCAGACCTGCCACGGCGTGTGCAGGCCTGCACGGGGACCTCCCCCTCTGGGCAGCACCGGCAGGGCACGCGTGAAACAGGTGCCCTGCAGCGCTGTGTGCTCCACGGCAGGAGGAGACCCTGGCCATCACCGCACCAGCCGACTCTCAGACCTGCTTCTCGGCCTCCTAGCCACCAGCCTCCTGTAGGAGATTCCCTTCCTTAGCGAGAAACGAGTGGCTGCCTGAACGGGAGGAAGCTGAAGGTGCAGCCTCCGGCACGACAGAGCCTCACTCCCCAGGGGCACCAGCATGGGGGTGGCTGGCCCACTTCCTGTGGTGGTGGGGTGCTCTCCCCTCCACAGACGCCCTGAGAGTGAGCGCCAGGGCATGTGATGAGGACACGCCGCCCACCAGCACGGTGCCTGTGTGGTGAGGAACTACACCTGCTCAGAGGCCTGTCGGCTTTGGGGAGGTGAGCTCAGCCTCGGAAGGCCCTGCCTGATGGGAGGCCTATTCTGCTGGGGACTTCGGGTCACGGTGGACAGTCTAATAATGCGACTCAGGGTGAGGACTGGCCACATCAGAAAGACCAATGCTTCAGGGTGGGGCTTGGGTCATGCAGCGGACCTGGAGAGCAACCACAACCACACGGGCAATAAATCTATCTATCAATCAGTGCCTAGGAATCAAGCCCCAGTGAAACTCTTGGCAAGGCATGGTGAGCCGCGCTCCGTGGGTGCCGTCACCCGTCCACACGGAGTCTGCGGTGCTGTGGGCCCCCGCCCGCGCCCGCCTTGCCTTGGCTGAGTCCAGTGGTGCCTCTCCCCTGTAATGAGACCATAACCACGAGCACAGCGCCTTTCAGTCATGCTGGGAGTCCTAGCCTGAGGGTGGGTGGGGAACTCCCAGGTGTCAGCACTCAGAGGCGCGGGCAGACCTGTGGGCTGCATGCTCTGGACTCTCATGCTGGTCCTCCCAGGGCCAGGGTGGCTCCGCCACCTACCAGCTGTGTGACCGAGCTGATGATTTACGCTCTCGCGGCTAAGGGGCAGTGTTAGCACCTGCCTTGTAGGCATTGTGGAAATCAGGGACGTGGCTAACTCTACGTGCTTGTATTCATCTATCTGGTCACTCATTTACACATCCGTTCACTCAACATTTCTGAGCGCCCGCTGAGGGCCAGCCAGCGAACAGACAGACAGAGCCAGCCTTACTGAAGCAGCTGGCCGGGAACCTGCGTGGTTCTTGGGCGGTTCCTCCACCCACCCTCCGCCCAGTGCGTCACCCGGTGCCTTCTCCTCGCAGGGCACTCCCTGCACACTGCAGGGACAGCAAGCTGACACAGGCCCTTCTCAAGGGGAGACATGATGAATCATGATAAAATAAGGCAAAGCATGACCATCGTGGGATGGAGGGCTGGTGGGGGCAGTTTAAAGTGGGTAAATTAAGAATCTGGACCACAGACAGAAAGCAAGACATCTCGATTGACTAGTTTTCAGTATTTGCTTAGGTATTATTTGTGCTCACCTGTATGCTTTGATTTGCTTCCACATTAATAAACAACAACCTGTAACCCAATATATGACATCTAACACCTGTCAGGCATGAAACAAGGACAGGAGGGCCTCCTGTGCTCCTCTGAAGTCTCAGGTGGCAGAGGGAAGGCCACTGAGGCCCCACCCACTGCGGTGAGTGCCACACCGGCTAGTTCAGACCAGTCAAGGACCACGGGAGTCGCGAGGGAGGCACAGAGCATAAAAGACAGCGGGAGGGCCCCTTGCTGTCCTCACCTGCCGCAAGCTCTCAGGCCACCTGAGGCCTCTGCTGTGTGCAGGCAAAGCAGCCTCCCCCCTCTGTGAAGGGCAGATGTTGTAAGTGTTCCTTTCCTGGCCACCATTTCCATGGGACCTTGGAGCAGTCTTCTGGGTCTGACCAGGCTCCAATGGCACACAGGATTTCCAGTGTGAATTCAGTACCACAAGGCTCATTTTACATTCTTGCCTCTTCCCACTGCCTGAATTTCTGGGCCTGGCCTTTGGAGAGGCTAGAGAAAGGGATCTGTGGGACATCCTGCCCTCCTCGGCCTACAGCCTGGAAACGTGTGTAGGGAGAAGCACTACACCAGAGCAAAGCATGGCACAGAAAACCTGCTCCTGTCCTTCAGAGAGAACAAACGACCTCTTAGGACGCAGCCTCCGAGGAGAGCTGAGGGCCAGAGAATCCAATGACCCCGGTCAGCTCTCTGACACAGCAAGGATCTGTGAACTTTGGACAACTGCTCCAGGGAACTGTCTGGTCTAGGCTGGCTCCCCGGAGCCCGCGCGGCCCAGGGGCAGGTGTGCGAGGGGCCGCAGCACGGAAAGCCAGGCGGTGTGCTGGGCTCTCAGCGTGGTGCCCACGAGGCAGCCGCCCCTTTCCGTGCGCACAGCATCAGACAAGCCCTCCACACCACACTCGTCCCTCCTGACGCGCCTCCCCCACCTTCCTCGGTGCTGCCCTCTCAGGCCACGATGGGCTGGGCACATGGACCAGGCTCTGACAAGACGGGGTTTGCTCCGGACTTGAATGAGCTCACAGAGGGCAGGTCCCAGGACGATGACGTGGTGGCCGGTGCTCACTGTGCCCTGGTAACCTGCCCAGGCACCGCACACAGATGAGCTCACGTAACTACACGTAACTCGAAGACATGGCTACTACAACTATGTCCATTTTTACAAACGAGGAAGCTGAAATGTAAAGAGGCTGGTCTTTGTGTGAGAAGTCAGGGTCGCCCCACTGTGTGAGTAGTCAGGGTCACCCCACTGTGTGAGTAGTCAGGGTCGCCCCACTGTGGGAGTAGTCAGGGTTGCCCGACTGAGTGGAAGTCAGGGTCGCCCCCCTGAGTGAGAAGTCAGGGTCGCCCCCCTGAGTGAGAAGTCAGGTCACCCCACTGAGTGAGAAGTCAGGGTCACCCCGGCGCCCACACCGTCTCATGCTGTGCCCCCTTGGGCGCTCCCGACCACTGGCAGCTGTGAGGGTGGCGAGGAGGACGGAGGGCACAGCAGGTCCCGGTGCCTGGGCCAGACCCAGGATGTGCAGGGCAGGCCTCGGGCAGGGCAGGCCCGAGCATGAACAGGGCAGGCCTCGGGCAGGGCAGGCCTCGGGCAGGGCAGGCCTCGGGCAGGCCCGAGCATGAACAGGGCAGGCTGCCGCCTGCAGTTCCCGGTGGTTTTCCAGGGGAAATGGGAACCAAAGCTTTCACTTAAATCAGTCTACTCATAGCCAGCAAGTGTCTGTGCAACCCTGTCCCGCTGGCCACTCCGACATCCCACCCGTGCCGACAGCCATGTAAACCAGCGGCTCTCAACCTGGGGGTTGCGACCCCTTTGGGGGTCGAACGACCCTTTCACAGGGGTCTCCTAAGACCATCCGTAAACATATATTTCCATGGGTCTTAGGAACTCAGACACCTCTCCTCTATCGTCTCCAGGAGGCCCGCCCACATGCAGACGCGCCCGCACACAGCAGGAGGAGGGTGGAGGGCTGCTGATGTACACACTTCTGCTGAGCAGACCGCGGGGAGCCACCGCCCAACAACCTCCTATACGCTGGGAGTTTAATCCATGCTAAAGCTGGCCTCCCGCTCAGCAATGATGCCCATTACTACGCCTGCAGCAGGAGGTTGAGGCAGGAGAGGAACAGTCAGGAAGCTCCACTTATTTACGGTCAGCCTTGAAGGAGAGGCGTTTCCTGGTGGTGTTTCTACGAGGGCGGGCCAGCCTCGGTGCAGGCCTGTGAGAACGTGGGGCAGCAGAGGGGAGCTGTGGCTGGCCCAGGGGGAGCTGTCTGCTCCAGCCCTCCTGCCTTGCTCCTCGGGGCCGGGAGTGTCAGGACGCGGGGCAGTGGCTGGGAGCCGTGGCTGGCCCAGGGGGAGCTGTCTGCTCCAGCCCTCCTGCCGTGCTCCTCGGGGCCGGGAGTGTCAGGACGCGGGGCAGTGGCTGGGAGCCGTGGCTGGCCCAGGGGGAGCTGTCTGCTCCAGCCCTCCTGCCTTGCTCCTCGGGGCCGGGAGTGTCAGGACGTGGGGCAGTGGCTGGGAGCCGTGGCTGGCCCAGGGGGAGCTGTCTGCTCCAGCCCTCCTGCCTTGCTCCTCGGGGCCGGGAGTGTCAGGACGTGGGGCAGTGGCTGGGAGCCGTGGCTGGCCCAGGGGGAGCTGTCTGCTCCAGCCCTCCTGCCTTGCTCCTCGGGGCCGGGAGTGTCAGGACGCGGGGCAGTGGCTGGGAGCCGTGGCTGGCCCAGGGGGAGCTGTCTGCTCCAGCCCTCCTGCCTTGCTCCTCGGGGCCGGGAGTGTCAGGACGCGGGGCAGTGGCTGGGAGCCGTGGCTGGTCCAGGGGAGCACAGTCTTCCGGAGAGGCAGTCAGGAGAGACAAAGTCATAAAGCCGGTGTTCTCTTGTCTTTGGGCACCTGTTCTCTCCCAAAGAAAATGAAAGAACTATTTCCAGGGAGTCCTTGGGAAGATGCCCCCCCTCCCCTATTCCAAAGAAGGGGGCCATAAGCTGATCACGCCTGTGTGAACTAACCCATGAAGCTGTGGTAAGGATCACCCAATGCCTGTTATAAACAGGTGTTCTTGGCCTCTACCCCAAACCCGCTGAATCAGATACCCCAGGAGGGCCCAGGAGTCATCTCTTTACCAAGCGTCCCATGTAATGTTTTCATCAGGGAAATTCTGAATGGTGGGCCTCAAAGTATGGTCTTCAGACCATAGCATCACTAGGACTTTTTAGAAACACAGATCCTGGGTTGCGTGGACGGGCTGAGTCAGACACTGCGCAGCAGCACGGCTTCCACGAGCCTCGGCAGCGCCGGTGCAGGCAGCGCGGTGAGCACACCCAGCCTCTGGCAGCCAGACCGCCTGCATGAGGGGATGAAGGCGAGAGGCCTTTCCTGCCCTCCCGCTGAGGGCACATGTCCTCGGAGCTCAGGAGTGACCGCGGGCCGTGCCCACTGGATCCCACCGGGTGCCAGACACTGTGCCAGCTGTTTTATTTGAGTTAATCCTCACAACAAACCCTTGAAGTGCAGGGTGCTCTGCAGGTGAGGACACTGAGGCACAGAGGGGTTAAGTGACTGGCCTACAGCCAGCAGGTGGTGGAGCTAGGCTGGAGCCCTGACCTGACCCAAGTCGGGTCCTGTGCGTTGCACCACATGGCCTCCCTGCTCAAAGCATTTCTGGGTTGGACCGGTTAATTCCTTAAGACTGTCACTTCTCATTGAGGCCTAACCCTCGGAAGGATGGCGGCTGGGCACACTGCTCTGCTTGGTGCTGGGGAGTCCCTGCATCTCGGCTCCCTGCAGCAAACGCCTCCGGAAACATTCTCAGAACTTAGAAAACACACCCAGAAGTATTTCATGTGTGACCCATGTGCTCTCCTGTCAACCCAAAGCCCCTGTCGGCGCTGTGGGGAGAGGTCCCGCTGCGGCAGCTCTGCAGCGTGGTCTGGCCAACACCGATCTTACTCCTTTTTTAATCCTTGTTCTCTTTCCTGTTTGCATTCTCTTTCATACCGCTCCTCTGTCTCCTGGACACTCTCCGACTGAGCGCTCTAAACCCTGCGCCGATGCGGGCAGGCCCGGGCGGGCAGACAGCACACCTGGATGTGGTGGGGGAGCACACCTGTCTCCGAAGGCACCTACGCAGACCCCAGCCAGCTCTGCGGGGAGGCTGCCAGGACTGCCCTGTCCCCAGGGCGGGAGGCAGAGGCACCCCCAGGTGACAGAACTTGTCTAGTCACACAGCTGGCAGGTGGCACAGGCAAGATCCAAACCCAGGCCGTCGGGCTCAGACCCCTGGCTGTTGGCAGGTGCGCCCCCCCCCCCCCCGCCCCAAGTAGGGCAGCATGTTTCTCTGGGCAAGAGGCTGCAGGAAAGCCACAGGTCCACGCAGCACCCAGGGAAACCGGTCTCGGCCCCGGCACAGGCTGACCTGCTGGCCACGTCCTGCTCCGGGCCCTGGTCCAGCACACTGCTCAGGTTGTGCTCGGCCTGCGTCTCCTCGGGGACCTCCTGCAGCTCCTCGGCCTGCTTCACAGACAGGCGGTAGTTCTCCAGCTCAATCCTCTCAGGGGTGCCCCTCAGTCTCTTGGCGATGCTGGGCTCCTCCAGGCCATTCACACTGGAACCTGCGAGACAACAAAGAAGCCAAGTTCTAGGACGAATGATGGGAACTAAATTCATCTGTGGGGAAGATGAGGGAGGTGCAGGGAGGGAGGAGGCAGGATGGAAGGAACATCTAAGCACCCCAGGCAGCCGCTGCTCATTTCAGTGACAGGAGGGAGCCAGGTCCCGGACACGGGGGCCAGGACAGGGCCCTGGGGTGAGAGCGGCAGTGAGAAGCAATGAGACCGCACGTCAGCGGCTCAGGGAGGGCACGCTCTCTCCTGCGTCGTCCTGGGTGGGGGCCAGGCAGACTTGGGACCAACGTGAGAAAGCTCTTGTGGTGGGAACCAAGCCCCTGGAAAGCAGCTTTGGCTGAAAAGGGGAGTCCTTCCAGGGCCCCCTGACCCAGGCCTGTCCAGGCTGGCTCTTTGCTAAGCTCCTCCCACCGGCTCGGCTGTCTCCTCACAGCCGGGTTCACAGCACACATGTGCTAAGGGGAACCACACTGCTGCCCTCGCACGGCCTCCTCCCTGCTGGCTCGGTCCGGCTGCGTGGGTTAGGTGCTGCCCACCCATTTCTGTGTGGTAAAGACACGTTCCCCTTTGTAACTGCTAAGCCCTCATGCGGTGACATGCAGAAACGGAATGACCCTTCTTCAACCGCCCTGTCATCCGCCGGTGCTCCTGTCCGCTGGGGACCTCTGCCTGAGCCAACCATTACACTGGGCGCCACAGAACGGCGGCTTTAAACATTCTACCATTCCGTCTCCACACATTCTTTTGTAAAGAACTTTCCCCATTTCTTGTTAATTTTTTAAGCACCACTGGGGACTCACGTCTGAATTCTTAACTGCTGCGTTTGACTACTATCTCCCCTGATAGCCATCCATCTGGAAGAGTTCCCGTCTCCCTCAACACCGTCACTAGTTTCTGATGTAGCCCATTGACCCAAATTTTTAAAAATTACTTATTCTTTAATGTGTTCATTGTAACACAATGTAGCACAAGGCTTAGGGTCGGACGAATCAGGCTAGACACCTGACTCCTGCAGCGACAGGCTGGAGGGTCTTAGGGAAACGACGCGACCACCGAGAGCACTTCCTGATGCGTACGTGAGGGTGCTGCCAACCCCAGGGCTGTGACGGATGTGGAATGAAGATACGCATGCGCACAGGTACATGCACACCAACTCTGCGCCCCATACCACCCTCCTCCTGCACTTAAGCCTCGCAAGTAGCAGTCTCCAGCAGATACGGAAGGTTAAGAGATGCAGCTAATGTCCTACTGAATATTTCACCACCAGTTTGTAAGAGTTCTGTGTAGGTATGTGGCCTCCACTGGCTCTGGGTTGCAAACACTTCCTGGACAAAGATGGGAAGAGAGGCCTGGGCAGAAGCGGCATCAGAAGGCCCGGCAGCAAGAAGGGCAGCGGAACGGCCGCCTGCACCACCAGACCCGAGCTGGCGAGTCTGAAGTGGGGCAGACGGGAGACTGCGGTGGGAGCGGCAGTGCACGGCCTGCGTCCTGGCCACTGGGGTCCCTGGTTTTCCAGACATTCTGAGCAGCGGCATCCCTACCCAGTGTTGGGAGCTAGGTGGTCTGTCAGGCAAAACCCAAACCTCTGCCCTGAAGGACTAGGGGAAGGGGTGGGTAGTGACTCAGTAGATTTTGCGACATGACAAGTGGTGGAGAAGGTGTCTGGAAGCCTGGCACATGGTACACAACGGGCAGCCATCTTTGTAGCATCCTCAGAAGGAACTTTCTGTAAGCCCAGGGAGGCACAGAGCACAGCCTTTGTGCATCTGCAGAATTACCAGGGTTTTCTACCCAACAGTCTTTCAAACTTACTAGAGAACCTTCACTGAAAAGCAAGACCCAGGGCATGTTCACTTACAAATTTAGGTCAAATGTATAACAGTGGGGTCTGGGCATGAACCTTGGGTTTGCCTGAGCCCTGGGCACATGCCTGCCATCCTGGTCTCTTTAAACACCCCTAGTCCCTTCTTCAACACCGAGCTCATGGCCCTACAGCATCAGCAATGATGCTAGACTAGAGCATCTGGAAGATCAGGAAACATGTGAACACTGGGTAACAGTGACGGGGGGGGGACACAGAGGGTGGGTGCACCTGGCACCTGGGCCCTGCCACGGGTGCTGACTGCAGTCCCAAACACCGGTCTTCCTGTCTTCCCTCTCCCCCCTCAACAAAACCCAACATGACAGAGATGAGGCGGCTAAGGATCCCCTGACTCCAACACCACTGAGTCTTTCCTTCCCATCATGTATTTTTGACAACTGTCCTTAAATAGAAAGCAGAGGAGAAAGAGAAATAAATGTGAAGCAACTACCCATGTATAAAGTTTTGGGAAACTCCATAAATATGACATAAAATCCAGTATTTCTTGTGGATGGGAGAAGAAAAACAGAATAAGAATTATCCCTTCAGGGAACACAAACAATGAACCTCATCAGTTCAGATCCAAGAAATTTCAAGGTGAAGCGAACACTCAGAAAGCGAAACGCATGGGAGCTGATGTCTTTTTCAATGGGTGGTGCATACGGTTTGCTAGGAATTTTACTGAAACCGTGGGAAACAAAGAATAAAACCTGTTCTACTTTTAAGGAACTGTAGGCTAGCCACGGGAGACAGTCCTGCACAGGAACTGTTTCGGTCGGCTGCACCTTCAGGTGTTATGACGTCGGGACGCACGCAGATGGAAGTACATAAGACGGCAGTTTAGTCCGCCCAGGTGCAAGGAAGGGTCTGGGAGGGATGCGGAGGAAGTCCAGCCAGCTGAGAAGCCTCTGTGAGGTAGGTTACAGTTTGCAAATGAAATAACTCAAGTTCAGGGACATGAAATAAGCCGCCCAAGGTCACAGAGCTGGAGAGCGGTGGGGCCGGGACCTGAACCTGAGGACAGCTTGCTCTAGGACTGCCGTGCGTCCCCTGCCTCAGGACATGAAGAGGTGCTTCCATAGAGAGGCCTGCTCTGCGTCCCCGGCAGTCTTCACCTCATCTCCTCCCCACTGAGCTACAGTTTTCAAGACGAAGGACACAGACCTTCACGAAAGCGTCTTAGAGCAGAGAAGCTGGCACATGGAGTCACACGCTGTCCTGCTCCCAGGGCAGCCCCGGCGCAGAGTCTGGGGTTTGGGGGGAAATGTTGATTTATTCTGGGATTGGCCACAATCAGGGGCACTCAGAACTATTCTGATCATTCACACCCAGGCCTCGGAGAGAGGAAGCTTTGGCCCTCAGAGCTGTCAGCGGTGCTCCCTGGAGGTGTGGGAAAGCCGAGCTGGGGCCGGGGGGGAACCTTTTTTCTGACAAGGGCCATTTGGGTATTTATGACATCATTTGTGGGCCATACAAAATCATCAACCTAAAAATCAGCCTGCTCATCTGGTGAGGCGTGTGAGGTTAGCTGTATGGATTTCATGGGCCCTACACGGCCTGTGGGCTGCGTGTCCCCACCCCGGTAGAGCAGCTCCCTGGTCCAGTCCCCCAGGCCGTGGGTCTGCAGCCGAGCAGAGCCAGCCCTGCCAGAGCCCGCAGGGACAGGGAAGCACTGCAGGAAGTCTCCTGGGCCAGGGCCCCGTGCAGCTCCCATTTTCCCAAAGGAAACACAGCACTCAGAATACTCGGCAAATACCCAGAACTCACCATTCCAAAATATGCTTAACATCACTTGCCCACACCTCAAAAATGCCACGGAGAATTAGAGAAATGAGCACACTGGGTTCCGTGTGCTGGTTACCCAGACGGTGACACCACCACGGAGCCTCCCTCTGCCCCCGGGTCCTCCCTCATGTTATCAGCTCACGGAGGAGCCCAGGAGAGCAGAGCCTGAAGGAGGACAGAGGGAAGAGTAACTGACAGGTGAGGGTTTGCAAGGTCAAAGTTTAACCCATGGGGTCAGGTTAGCTGGCCAAAACCCACTGGCCCTCCACTTCACACACTAGTGCAGCAACAACCACACAGCTGGGACTTGCCAGCTAAAAGTGTGATGACAATTTGGAGTAATTCTAAGGCTGGTTCTTCACTGAGTCAGGGCAGGCAGACCTCAGGTCACTGGAGGCCAATTCCAGCCTCACATACACCAAAAGGAGCCGACTCCTGGGATCTGGGGTGCATACTAAATAGGAAAAAGGCTCTGGGTCTGACCTAAAGGCTCTGTTTGGGAACAGTCACTGCCCATATGACCTCCACACATTGTCCTGAAAGAAATGTTTTCCAACTGAAATGAAGAATAATTTACAGAGACTCAACAGCCGAGTAGAGGATGCTGAGAACCAAACCATCAATTTGGAATATGAGGAAGCAAAAAACACCCAATCAGAACAGCAAAAAGAAGAATCCAAAAATATGAAGATAGTGTAGGGAGCCTCTGGGACAAGTTCAAGCGTGCCAACATTTGCATCATGGGCGTGCAGGAAGGAGAAGAAAGGGAGCAAGAAATTGAAAACCTATTTGAAACAATAATGACAGAAAACTACCCTAACTTGGGGAAGGAAACAGACATACAAGTCCAGGAAGCACAGAGAGTCTCAAACAAGATGAACTCCAAGAGACCCACACCAAGACACATCATCATCAAAATGCAAAAGGTTCAAGACAAAGAGAGAATCTTAAAAGCAGCAAGAGAAAAGCAGTTAGTTACCTACAAGGGAGTTCTCATAAGACTGTCAGCTGATTTCTCAGCAGAAACTTTGCAGGCCAGAAGGGACTGACATGAAATATTCAAAGTGATGAAAAGCAAGGACCTACAACCAAGATTACTCTATCCTGCAAAGCTGTCATTTAGAATTGAAGGTCAGACAAAGAGCTTCCCAGAGGAGAAAAAGCTAAAGGAGTTCATCACCACCAAACCAGGATTACATGAAAAGTTAAAGGATCTTCTTTTTTTTTTATCCTCACCCAAGGATATTTTTCCATTTTTTGTACAGATAGAGTGGGAGGGAGAGAGAGGAAGGGAGAGAGAGAGAAACATCGACGTGAAGGGACACATCGAGTGGCTGCCACC